GTGTGTGTGTGAGAGAGAGAGAGAGAGAGAGAGTGAGTGAGTGAGTGAGTGAGTGAGTGAGTGAGCGAGAGAGAGAGAGAGAGAGAGAGAGAGAGAATATTTATTTATTTATTGAACTACAGTATTTATTTATTGGGAGGGACACCCCATTTATAACAAAAAACGTTAACCGTGTTGCTCAGATCAGTGCAACTCAAGGGAGAAGCGTACTTGCCTGTCTAGTTCAGTGGGTAGGCACATTTGGCCATGTAGTCAGGAGTATGGGTCCTCTCTGCGCCTGCCCAGAGAAGTGCCAGCTAAGATCACCCCAAGCATGTGTGCCCGATCGGGGTTACGTGGCCCTGCCGTGTGAAGCTGGAGCAGCTCCGTGGTCTCAGAGTGTTCCCTAAAAGGAGGGGCTGGTCAACGGACATGAGTTTTTTATGCCTAGAAAACCAGGTACCCAGCTTTGTTTTGTATTAAAAATCCCTACACCCAAGTGCTCCTCCCTCGCCTCCTACCTACCCTCCTTGGCCAACGGTCTTGTCCTCTACTCGGCGGGGGGGGGGACAGCAGGCCATTTCCAGAGTGCTGGAGACTGGACCTGCCACCCCCTACCCCCAGTTGGCTGGCGCTGATTTTAAAGAAAGCCCTCTATAGACCTAAATAAAGTAGAAGAAAACAGTCAGAGAGGGCACAATTATCTATTTCAGACAAAAAAATATTTGGGGGAGGTATTGGCACAGGGAGGTTACACCGACAGCCTACATTCACCTTGCTCTGTTCTTTCTCTTCCCACCTATCCGTTCTCACTATGTCTTCCTTCCCTCTGACCTTGTACTCTTTCCAGCCTTTATCTCTCTCTGCTCACTCTTACCAGACAGCAGGGCCTTTCCTCCCTCTGTCTCAACTTTTGGAAGAGTTTGGGGGAGCCCCAGAGAAAAGCTGCAGCAGCTGTGGCCCACATGTTCTTTTCCTATCCAGAGCTGCCGAGAGGCCTTGTGGAGCAGGGCCATGAATCGTACAGCCTGCCATTCTTAGTGTAGGGGAGGACTCTTGATCCTTAAAGCGGGGTTTTTGTGCATGGGTCTTTTTCTCTATGAAATCTCAGATATTTTATGGTCATTTATTTTTCTGGACAAAATGCCAAGCAGCACTGAATTATAGAAATTCCTACACAGAATGGTATCTTTCGTGCACAGGCTTCAGCTAGAAAGGGTAGAAGACGCACTTGTGCAGAATGGCATCTTTCCTGTGCGAGATTAATGTAGAAAGGACAGGAGTGGCACTGGGCATCTTTCCTATGCAGGTTCACCCAGAGGAAATGCCAAGCATCATTTCTGCATAGGATTTAATTGGAAAGAACAGAGGAAACATCAAATTTCATAGGATTATTA